CACTTGTTAGGCATCTTCTCTAATATTCTTATGTATATTTATACCAACATGCACACAACCTTTATTCTGCTTATATAATACTATCTACAAGAACAATTACTATTTCCTTATGATTAAATATTATTCATTACTCAATTATAATGACTGTCTGAAATCATTAAGATATTTTCTTAAGTTGTTGTGTTGGTAGTGGACAGATTTTTGGTGAATGCTAGTTTTTAGGTTTCTCTTTTAGAGTAACAATAATTAGGTAGTATAAATAATTGAGTTATATTATTGTGGTTCTGGAGCCACCCAAAAATTCAAATGTCTTCAGATTGTTTTTTTTTTCTGAAGCTTCGAAATGCCTATCTTTCCAGTGCTGTAATGTAACTGTTATTAGATGTGTGTGTGTGTGTCTGTATACACACTTGTTTCTATATATCTCCCCAATCTTCTGCTTTAACAAGGAGAAAAGTCATATTGTATGAGGATACTATAATTTAGCACATTTTCATAATTCTTTCAAGAAACCATGTCCAAAATCAATCATTTTAGGAATGAGGAAATAACCATGAATTTGGAGTATGTTCAACCCTTGACTGACAGTCCATTGTTAATTTTCATTGCTTATTCTTACATTTATAATAAGACAGAGAAGTAGTACTATCAGTTAGCAGGCTTTGAGATCTAGGAAAGAGGAGATAGATAGATCAGATAGATAGATAGATAGATAGATAGATAGATAGATAGATAGATAGATAGATAGATAGATAGATAGATAGATTAGATACACAATACGCATTTACCCCTATCCTCTTGGGGATTTTTGGTATTGTTCATATATATATGGACCAGGGAGGCAATGCTAGGCCAGTGCTTAATTATAGTAAGTGATACTCATGCTTAATACCTTGCTTCTTCACACACTTAACCAGTATTATCTTTGAATTATATATTTTTTGAATTGTATTTTAAATTAAATAATAAGCATAAAAAATGTATTCCTTAACTATTTTCCTTCTTTCATCTTCTTATTGCAAAGACATTTTATCTGGAATTCAATAGGATCTTTTATGTATTTTTCTATATAAATCACACATTTACAAATAAAAGAAAGGAAGTATCTTATGCATCACTTATGGAGAGCAGTCTGTGTGTTAGACTATGGTTTTAATAAAAGTTATGAAGGATGCATGCATATATTAGCACTATTTTAAAAATACCAATTTGTAACATTTAAATAAAATATATATGTTCTGCTTTCATAAGTATATATCTTTTAATTTCAATACAGTGCAGATATATTATTTAGAATAATGTTATTAAATATAATGCTGTGGTAGAGTGATGTACATTAGGGGAGTGTGGGTATTTTTCCTAGAAAAGAAGGAATTTGAGTGTTCTGTGACTGATAGAGCTTCCATTGATATTTGTTTGCAATTGCAAATATGGTAAAACAATAATTTTAAAAAGTGTATTTTTATTGTTTATTCTCATGTAGTAGCCAAATTTGCATTATTTATTTGCTTTTTATTATATGAATATCATCCACAGTAAAATACACTCAACTGTGCATACTCAAAAAATGCCTAAAATTCTGTCATAATATACTTTTTCACATGATATGCTTCTCAGAATAACACTCAAAATTTATTGGTATTTTTAACTAAATTAGTATTATTTAAATCAGATTGTCACTATATAAGTTAGCATATGTATAGGCCTAATGAATATAGTAATTATTGGTCAGGCTTCTTTCATTACTATTCTACATAACCAAGATGAGTAGTGAAGTAATGATTCAAGCTCTTACTCAACACTGGCATTCATGAAGTTAGGAATGTTCTCTTTCTTATAGTCTCGCCTGCCTCAATTTATCATCAATGTGGCAGTAAAGAAATATGTTACCTGCTCTTGTTCATATCAAAGACAAATATAAATACACACACACACACACTAATGATATACAATATCAAAACAATCTTACATGCCTAGCACTATTTTGAGACTGGGATTTCTTTGTTTTGTTTTTCATCATTGAAGATTCTCCATAAAGTCATTCCCAAAATTCCAGCATAAATGTATAAATAAAATTTGCACAATTCAAGACATTCAATGTGATGTTTGAGAAAAACAAGCTGTGAGCTGCGTATCACTGAAATAGGAACACACACATCTCATTCCCTTGTAGTTTATGAGAAAGTATAACATCAACATTTACTATATGCCTCATTAACACAATATATAACATGTATGTCTCATATTCATATCTAATTATCTAAGTCTGTGTTATCTGTACATGTCTATCAAGAAAGTAAAAATTATTCAACAAAAACTCAGTATTTCATTCTTTATATTATTTTGATACTTTTCCAGTGTTACCCTAATATGTATAGTATTTTATAATTATAAAATATATAAAAATAAATATATAATATAATATATAAATACATAAATATAAATATATAATATATGTTTGAAATTAAATACTGAAATGAGAAAATATTTTGCTATCTCTGGATAATTTTCAGGTGCTATTTACTCTCTGTACAGAAAGATACATGAAAAAATGTTCATAGACTCAACTCAGAACATAGAAGACCAGAGATCAGACTTTTCCTTTGTAGACTGTGTTTGATGGATGATTTCATCACATTATAAGTGCATCTGATATGTGAGGGAATTCAACTGCAATTTTTATAGAAAGAAGAGATGATTCTGCAGCCATAATCTTGGGCTGTCAACTGTCATTTCCCTTGAAAGTAGAAATGATTTTGAAAGAAAGAATTCATGCTTTAGAATTCAATGCAGTCTCATCAATTGTCAGGATATTTGCAAATAAATAGATGTGCAATGGACAGAGTAGACATTACAACATAAATATACAAGAGGAATAGAGAAATATTTTAGAAATATAACTTCAATATTTCTATAGTTTACTTTATAGCTCAGAAAGGTCTTATTTTCTATACAGAAATTCTAAAGCTTTAGAAGGAGAAAATTCAATAAAAGTATTTTTAAATTTCATATATTATGTTAGTATGCATTTACCACACATAAAATAATAATTTTTGAAAACTAGAATATATCATTAGGTCATAGAGCTGGAGTCACAGAGAATTGTAAGCTTACAGTCACAGTGCTGAGGAAACTGTCTTGAGTTCCAAGCAAGACAAGGATCTGCTTTTAATCTAAGAGTCAAATCTTCAGGCTTCACTGGGAGAATTTAATTAAAGATGCATTATGTTCATAATATTGGAGCTCATTAAAAGTAAGTGAAAATATTTAAATCATTCTTACATCTGTCTCATACTAATGTGCTGTTGATAATACTGCAAAAATTAATATTGTTTTCATTGCACATTTTTTCAATATTCAGCATGCACATGGAACCTGCAAACCAGACACATATTTCAGAATTTTTTCTCATGGGACTAGCTTATGTCCCTGAACTGCAGCCCCTCATCTTCAATGTGTTCCTGCTCATGTACCTCATTACCATCGTGGGAAACCTACTCATTATCCTGGCTGTGAGCATAGACTCCCATCTCCACACTCCCATGTACTTCTTCCTGTGTAATCTGTCTTTCACTGATATCTGTACGAGCACAACATCAGTCCCAAAGTTGCTGTTGAACATCCAAGCACATGACCAGAGCATCACTTACATAGGCTGCATCTCACAGGTGTATTCTATGTTGACATTTTGTGGTGTAGAAAGTTGTCTCCTCACTGTAATGGCTTATGACCGCTATGTGGCCATTTGTCAACCTTTGAGATACACAATTATTATGAACCCTTTCTTATGCATCTTGCTAGTCTTACTTTCTCTGATAATCAGCACTATAAATGCATTGCTCCACACACTTCTGGTGTTGCAACTGTTCTTTTGTACAGAAAATGATATCCCCAACTTCTTCTGTGAACTTGGTCAAATCACAAAACTTGCCTGTTCTGATACATTTATCAATATTATCTTTATTTATCTGGCAACTAT